TTCAAAAAATTATGATTAACTGCGTGAGAATAAATTTAGACGCAATCCGTATGTCATTAATTAATCAAATAATCTTAACACAGTAGCGCGAAAAATAAGATTAACTTCGTTTGGAATCCACAAAGCATCTATCTAAATGCTAATATACCATATGGTACTTACGCTCTTCCCCACATATTGCCTGTCCAATAGTTACTTTTTGCATGTACTTTGACATTTCTCGCGCAACGCCAGTTATTTGTATGGCGAGCTCGCGAGTAGGCACCATACATAAGCACTGGCATATTTCAAGATCTGGATCAATACGAGAAAGCATAGCCAAGAGGAAAGTTGCAGTCTTTCCAGTTCCGGATTGAGACTGTGCGATAATATTTTGAGGGCTAGGATAAAATATATTTATTAGTGACAATGTCAATTACAAATAAGAATATAACATAGATGAACCTACTGATCACCAATTAAGCTTGGAAGAGCCTTCTCTTGAATAGCTGAAGGCTTGGCAAAGCCCATAGACGCAATACCTCTTAAAATCGATTCTTTCCTAAGAAGAATAAAGATACAACGTTGTTTACAGGTTCATTTCGTGAAAAGTCTTAACAGAGTGTAAAGGGTGGTCTGGATCAGATCTTAGGACTTCAATATCTGACTCTTTAGTTTCGACTAGCTTAGAGTTAAGGAGCTTGTTAATGTAAGAGAGATCACCACGAGAGAAGCCTAGAAATAGTAGCATAAAATTAAGTTACCTTTTTCGGCCTGGTCATCATTTTCAGTTTTGGGTGTCGTAAAAGTGTCATCGGCAGACATTAAAGACTTTGGAGCTTTATGACTAATATTAATACTATCAGATGAGGTGTCTGAAATGGTGCTTGTTTTCAGGCGGTCAAGGAAGATATCCCACACGCTGTTATCCCCATTATTCTTCTAGAATTTTACAAATATGGGGAGAGATAATGACTCACGACTTCTGACATCAGAGGCGGGCAACAAGAGGGAACCGGAAGATGCGCGCTAGGATAAGTTAAGGGAGCAAGACAAAATGAAATTTTTATTTTCAGCCAAGTTTACTAACTTCTGTTTATGATTAAAAAATAAGTTATGATACCGATGCTGCAAAGTAAATTCACTTATGATACTGGAGTTTTATCGTGTAACATAAATTACTAATGCCTGCTAGAGTCATTGCACTCCGCACTACTCTTGAGTATCTCATTATTTTAAATTAGTGTGAACGTGTTTGCTAGTTCTTAATTATACTATTCATGACCTCAGATATAAAAGGAATGTAACTGTGATTCAACCATAATCTTTATTCTTTAAATAAAGTTTAGGCTGCATACATATTTTATATTCTTATTTTATGCAAGCGATATTTAGTGCTCTATAAAGAATTATTTAAAAATCAACAATTATATAACGAATTGTCTTACTATGGCATTCAGGAGTCTAAGGCTGTTTTGGCACCTCGAACACCATTTTTGTATTCATATTAATATCTAAAGTATAAATTTTGTCAAAGATTAAAGTATATCTAGAGGCTGAGTTCACAACTATCTTTGCGTAAAGCTCTCGCAATTGGAATAATGATCACTTTGATGGAGCTTGGGCCGATTATATTTGGAATT